TATCGTTGTGTTCGCGTTGTTCTTTTTGTCAGTTGTTTTTTAAGGTGTGGTTTTCATTTGTTAATTGGTCGCGTTGGTCCTCTGCGTTTCTTTTTTTGTTTATTTCGGTTTGAATTTCCTTGTCTTTGGCTTCTAATTGTTGGCGGAGTTCCAATTGGGTGGTTTGGTAGTTTGTAATTTGACGGGCTTTGCTGTTATTCTCTGCTTGTAATTCTGCTTTATCGGCTTCCAGAATGCTTAATTGGTCGGTTATTTGTTTTATCTGCAAATTGGCTTGTTTAAGTTGGGAGAATGTTATTTGCCAGTTGGTTAAATTTTCTTTAATTTCGTCGTCTTTTAATCCTAGTTGGGCGGTTAAGGTGATTAGTTTGCGTTCGTAAACTTCTAATCGTTCCCTGTCGTTTTTCGCTTCTTTTATTAATCTGTCGTATTCCTCTAATTTACGGGCTGTTGATTGTTCGGCTATTTCTAGGGTGGGTGTTTTCAGTTGTGATTTTAATTTTTGTTCTTGTTCTCTCTCTCGTTGTTCTAGTTCATTATTCTTTTTCGCCCTTTCTTGGAGGTTTTTGGTTAAAAGTTCTTTATCCTCTTGTAATTCAGTTAATTTATTTTGTAAATCCTCTCTTTCCATATTAGCAGCCCGAATAATTTCCTCGGTTTTAGTTTTATATTCATTTTCGGACCTTTCAAGGTTTTCAGTCTCTCGTAGAACATTTTTAACTATTTTGATTGCTTTTTGGGCTAGGGCTCGGGTTTCTTGGGCGGCTTTTTCGTAGGCTGTTATAATTGGCTGGTTTTTTCATATGGCGTATTCTTTAAGTTTTTGTTCGTTAAAATTAACTCTATTACCAACAGGAATGCCAAGACTGGTATAGCCTCCGCCAAGTGTCGGTTTTCAGCCTTGGGGCTCGGCTTCTTTTATAATTAGGGCTTTTTCTTCCTCCTCTGTGATTTCACTATAACGCTGTCGTTTTTGTTTTTCTTGGGCTGATTTTACTAGATTTTGGTGGCGGGTTTGTTCCTCATTAATGCGCTCCTCGCCTGTTTTTAGTGTTTTTAACTCAAAATTGTCGTCTAAAAGATTGCGATATTCGGCTATTATTCGTCAATCGCTTTCGGTTTGGTTTTTTAATTTGGTTAGTGTTTTTTGGCTATTCTCAGCTTGTTCCTCCTCGTCCTCCTCGTCGTCTGTGTCTAGGCAATAGTCAAAAATGTCGCTTTCATTGTCGTCGCTGTCGTATTCGTTCTCGTTATAATCATAGTCAAAAAGGGAAAAGGGAGAGCTATATATGCTTTTTTTTGCTTGTTCGCGTAAGATATTGCGGTTTTTTTCTATCTCTTTTACGAGGGTTAAAAGTTCTTTATCCTCTTGGGCGGTTAAGTTGTCTTTTTGTAAAAGTTCGTCTTTTCTTTCATCCTTTTTGTTAGTTGGTATCATTAACTTTAAACGCTCTAAAATCAATGCTTCATAATCTTTTTTTTGTTGGTCGGTTGCGTCGTCAGTAAACCTCAAATAAAAAAAATATTCTTTTCCTTCTATGGTTATTTTTCTTATGTTTTGTTTGTTGATTTTTGGCATAATTTTTTAAAAATGTGGGGCTTGCGGGTGGTTTTTTAGTCGCACCCGCCACGACTTTTGCTAGGCACTACAATTACGGCAAAGGGACATTACTCATTGGCCTTGGTCGTAGCATTTACGCAGGCAACGGAGATGGAAAACCCCGTCGTCGCAAATATCGCATTGCTCCTCGTATCCTGGTTTAATTCCTCGTCCGCAATGCGAACACAGTTTTTTTTCTGGATTGTTTTTCATAACTTAAAAATTGGGCTGGTTGGGAAATTAGCGAACATTTTGATACTCGGCTAATTCGGCTTTTAATCGGGGCTTAATAGTTTGGTCCCATTGTTCCGAAGTTCCGTTAAACTCGGCGAGAAAGGTTCATTGGAGGCAGTGAAAAC